TACACCCCCCTTGACCGTAAGATGAAATTAAACGGTCACTTACACTCAACAAATGACTAAAATTAAAATACTGCTTTGTTTCTCACTTTTCTATTGTTTGTTTTTATTTAGTTTTGTGGATAAAACAGATTACTCGCCTTGTTTAAAATATGAGACAGCACCTTCGGTCCTGCAGTAGTAGTTTATCTCTCTCACCAGCAGGAGGCGCTCCAAACAAGAAAACACAGATAGAGAGAAAAAAACAGGTTAATACAAGTCCAGATGTTTTTCACAGGCTTCAGCAGAGAAACCAACCCCCCTCTGTCATAACTCACTTTAGACAAGACAAAGGAAAGCTCTCAGCCAGAAAAAAAAAACTTTGCATCACCCTCACAGTGGAATGCAGCTCAACTGGCAAGTCAATACACAAATAAAAACAGAAAAACAACAAAAACTTCCACATTTAACACAGAAACACACCTTTAGGACAGACAACACACACAGTCCTGGACTCCTTGCTTAAACAGAGCTTTTAAAAAAATAACAAACAAAAACTTGACAGTCACCCTTTAATTTCTCTTTTTTTTTTTTCTTTTTTCTTTTTCAGACGAGGCTTCACACCCACACCCTCGTTAACTTCCCAGCCTTTTCGGCGGAATTACGTTAGCCCTCTGGGCCCCCAAAAAGAGCTACAACCGGTTACTTATCTGGGCAAGGTAACAGAAGAAACTGAGCTGAACGACCTCGTGACCGCCCCCTTTAAACTATAACATGAGACAGCCTTCACCACCTAGCATCTTAGCTAACTCCCCGACCTTTTTCCATCGGATTTAAACAGYGCTCAGGCCTCAAAGTCACTGTGACCGTGTAATCCTATTCGGGCAAGCTAACAAAAATGACAAMGCTGAACAGCTCCTCTCAACCTGCTTCCTACCAGTAGCCAACCAGGCAGCTCAGACGTCTCTGTGCTGAACAGTTTCATTAGCCACGGTGTAGCGGTTAACACACTTTACCAGAGATGCGCATCTCAACACTTATACTTCAAAGTACGTACTTTTACACATAACCACCAGAGAACACACACTTTTTTCTCTGTGGCGGGCAACACTGTCAAAAAATAACTAATAAAATAGCTTAGCTTAGCAAGGTCGGACACACAAAGAACAAAACAAAGCAAAGCCAGATCTCCAGTGGTAAAAACTTCACAGGAAGTGAGAGGTAGAGAAAAAATGTGAACCAGATGTCTGTACCACAGCTACCCCCACCACGCTATAAATCAGTTTGGACAAGACAAAGAACTGTCCTGAACCACACCCCTCTTTTAAAACTTTGAACGGCCTTCGTTCAAATTTCCACTAAATCAAGCTTTACACACAAACAAACAACTAACATAACAATAACAGACAACAAACATAAAAAACTTAAGAAAAATAAACTAGATTCCTTTTCTCTATTTTTTTCCTTTCTCTATGTTTTTTCTCCTTCAAAAACTAGCCAGACACATTTAAACTTCTATTTCAAGACTGAGAGACGTCTGTAATCTCACTCTGCACTGCTTTTTTACTCTGTAGMTGCACATCTAATCCTTAAATTTAATATTCTCTACACAAATGTGGCATTGTTTGCCTTCCATATGAACTCTACTTCACCTCAGCATAAAAACTGTTTATCTCTCGTAAAAATTGAATCTGACGGAATTACATGCTTTTACTGATCCCGGAGCAGAAAACACCACAGCTTGACAATTTAAAACATAAAAGGAACAGTTTTATCGTACTTTAAGCTGGTTTACAACACCTCGTGTCATGACAAAGCACATTTTCGCTGCACCCAGAGCATGTGCAGCCCTGCCCCCCTTTCTCTACAGCACGAGCCTTTGTTCTCCACGGAGCCCTAAACTCGACAAAAAACGCTATTTTAACCCCAATAAAAACCCAGATACACCAAAAACAGAAACAGAAACGCTAGCATGAYAAAGAAATTTGATTCTAGACACGAAAACAGATACACGAAGAACAAAACAAAGCCAAATACAGAACGCAGGCGGAGCACAAACGCTGCGGCCTACTGACAAACCTCACTGAACCGCTCCTGAGCCCAAAGGCATTAATCAAATAATACAGAGATATTACGGCCGATAACCTCCGTTAATTCGATATTAACCTTATTAAGGCTTTCCAGATCCCATCCTCGTCGCCATTTTTGTCGTGTCTTGGTTCTGTTCGGTTCTGAGGCTGTCAGCTGCTGGACTCTGCTTGGTCTCTCTTTGTCTGCTCCCTCCTGCTGCTGCCTTTGGGCTGATCTGGGGCTGCTTCGGAGCTGGGCCGGCTGGCTGCTGCTTGTTTCGCTGGAAATCAGTGAGCTCCCTCCTGTAGACTCGTCAGATGTCAATAGAACTCTAGGCTAACAAAACTGAATGACGAAAAAACTATTTCCTCAGCTTTGGACATCGTTTATTTACGAGAGAGAAAGAAAAGCGTCTACACAGCTCAGATGTTTACTCTGACTCCTTGCCCTCCGAGAAGCGTGCGCGTGCCTTCATGCTCGCTTCCGCCTTCATGCGCGCTCCGGTCGGACGCCCACGAGCTGACGCTCGTTCACATTCTCTTTAAAGGGCCAAACATGAAAATTCACCACATAAGTAAGTAAGTAAGTAAGTAAGTAAGTAAGTAAGTAAGTAAGTAAGTAAGTAAGTAAGTAAGT